TCGTCAACGACGATGCACCGATAGGTGGCGCACTAACAGTTAACTTAATTCTCAGTGCACAACACACACTTAAAAAATCACACACACGCACACATCATTGCACAACAAAAAAACCAAAAATTAAAAAGCTTAAGAGTTACTGTACTTGACAGGATTTTGGAGTATGTCTGTTGTATGTATTTTTAGCCTTGGCCTGGTTTTGTACCAGTTAAAATCTTCAAAATATTCAAGCAGCACCACTAGAACTTGTTTTTTGTATTCTTGAATTTCAGCCTATCAGTTACCACCCACCTCTTCAAAATGAGTGGAAACATTGCAGCAGGGACCTTCACAGCTGAAATGTTCAACCAGAAGGAGGAAACCCCAACTGAAGACGTTGCATCTGGCTCCATCACTCCCAATTTGAATAACCTTGCATTAGAGCCCCCCAACATACTAAATAATTCAGATACAGGTGAAAATCAATCGACACCCCATGACGAAAATTCTGAAGAAAAACCAAAGTTTTCCGATCCATTTGTGCTAAATTTACCGCCAGAATTGAAGGATCAACTTATAAATTCTCTGAGAAAAAATGACATAGAAGAAAACCAAGAGATGAATTTAAAACTGGAAACCCCAGAAAAATCTGTTGATGATAGTTTATCTAATAATATTGAAGGTACACCAAAATTTACTGATAATCTTGTTGACATAAAACCAACACTTCCAGAAAGAAACCATATTACAGATGCCCTTGAAAGCAATTTGGAGATGTTTACAGCACTTGGTGGAATTGACCGAGCATCGTCTGCTGATTCCGAGGCAACATCGTCCCGGTCCTCAAGGATAATGCGATCAGTCTCAAATGACGACGACGCTTCAAGTCAGTCATCTTCAGTCAGAAGCCATCAGGTAATTTATGCAATTTTATTCCAAAAATATGATATGATCCTGAATGTTTATTTAGTTGTATTTATTTTTGAGGTAATTTCCAATGTTGTCATTTTGTATACTGTATTTATATGCTTTAACAATTTCCAATTCAGTAATCTACTGCTAACCCATGTTATGTGCAATTATTGATTTTTGAATAAAGATACCACCATACCATAATTATAATAATACATTAATATTAATTGATTAAATTTGCTTAGTTGCACATTTCTAAGCATCCAAATGGTAAACTTATACTATATATAGGCAAATGAGATTGAAATTGTTATCTTTTAATGGATGTGTTCGATTGTTATTTTGCAGTTTCATTTTCATTTCAGTACTCATTTAAAAAAAAATAATGTATTGAGGGTCCATCATTGCTTCAGATCATGTTGGTAACCTGATGCTCTATTTTGGAGGGGGATGAACATACAAGTGTACAAATACCATTTAATGCAATTTCAAACTTATCCGAATTCAATTTCATTTGTTATATATATTCTTTAAAAATCATCTTAATGTTCACATTGTTCTTTGTTTTGATTTTTTTTCCCTACAGAGACAAGGTAGTACAGGAATAAGCTCAGGTCCGAATAGGAATTGGGTGCAGTTTGATGAGCCGCAAAGGCCTGGCAGACCCTATATACCGATACAATACACAGGTAGGTTGATCAGGCCATCATAAAACTTCTACTTTTATGAGACATTATTGATTGAATGATTAGGAGACTGAAGAGGGAGCCATGCACATGTAGAGTTTTATAATCAAAAATTAAATATTGAGGTCTCTGATAGTGTTTAGGAGGGTACCAATTCTTTACAATTTATTTATTTATTTATTTATTTATTCTTTCTTTATACTGCAGGCACTTTCAGTACTAGTGCACTGATTTTCAAAGTGGTACAGTAGATATCTTAAAAACAGGATACTATAAAAGGAATCAAATTTATAAATAAAAAATATAAACAAACATAAAAACAAAAATCAGTCATAGAGAAAATTCAATGCAAATCTTGTGTAATAAGGAAATTTTTAAATGTATGAATTGACATTTCTTTAAAGTTAATTTTTAGTTCATTTGGAAGTTCATTCCAGCTTTTGGATGAACGGTAAGTAAAGGTTCTTTTGCCATGGGAAATATTCCAAGTGGGGACAACTAAATTGTTATGGGTTTAATGCACTATCCATCACTGTATAATATTTGTAATGAGATGGATAACCTACGACCAGTCGAGGGCCTAAGGTCTAAAGGAGTCAAAAGACAAAATATTTGGGGTGTTGCCTTGCCTGGTGATGGGATCCAGGGGCTATACCTTCTAAAAGCATCAGAGATTCATCTAATTCCTTATCTAATAA